AGCAGCCGGCTGCCTTGTTTCTAGTATAAATTTTTCGTTTATACACAGAGTTCCGAGACTACATTCCATATTGCATAGATTTTTTTTATCTCAAGACCCAACTTGGACGAAATGCAGACTTCCAAGGTGGCATGCAGCTCTTAAATACCCCATGGACTTATTCCCTGTTTGCTCAGTGACATTACTCACATACATTTTTACTGGACCTTGCAGCTCGTGCATGTCTATAGTCATTCGATTGTCTCTTCCACCCCTCCAAACCAATATCATTCTTTGGGTGCATCTGATGTTTACGACCTGCAGTTTATTTTAGGCATAAATGAGTGAAATCATACCAATTATCTTTAAACTCTTTATTCTTCTATCTTCCTCTATCATTTAATTCCTTAAACGAATAAGCTAATCAAATAACGTTGATTCACTCGTTGGCTTATTCTTAGTATTAGAGGGGTGTGAGCAAGTGAAGTTGAGAAAATGCCCAGCTGTTTAGAGACATTCCTTGGATTACATGGATTTTGGATTTCTTCCGGCACATTTGGGTTAATTGTTTTTTTAAATTTGTTTGATGGTTCGTACTTATCGCCTCCTTATTCTTACTTCGTAGTCCTTGCTATTGCTTCCGCTCCCCTAAGATATTCGGTTTAATCTGACCAAACTTGATTTCATTTCGTTGAGCCATTTTAAAAAGAATTGTCACCATCTAAAAAATTGTGCCAAGATGGCCATTCTCGGCTAGATTACTCCATGGATCTCTTATGCTCTGTAAAATTACCTTTATGACACTTAGTGAAACTTTAGATTTGTCTTCTTGTCAAAACTCCAGAAAGAACCTCTTACATTATAATTGCCGTTGCTACATCTGATATCTCCAATACAATTATTATTTAATTATGTCATTATTGTTTATCGAATTCTTATGCATTGCCTCATTAGTTTATATTCTTCTGGGGCTTACATCACTGCTTTACCTTCATCGGTCTTCAGAGACCAATCCTTTGTCCCTCAGCCCAAGGACCGATTCCACTTTCTCGTTTTCCGGTCCTCTTCGAAAGTTGCCCCAGCTTTATCGAGCACCTGCTGCTGCGACTGGTGAGACCGAATCTATCGGACTCGAGCCTGGGCTCGAGTCCGATCAGGTTGATCTCTCGGCCTGGCTGTCCTGTGCTTGCCTTCATCTTCCATCGGCCGATCGGGTCGTCTCTGACTTTGTCCAAACGCCCAAAGATCACCAGCAATACCAGTCGCAACCATCACAGCCTGCAAGATTCGGGCGTATGCCAACTGGTTGGACTAGACTGGGTGGGCTAACCGGCTACTTGTTATGGCAAGCTACAGAGCAGCCTGCTGGTTGTTTGCCTATAGAATTAATTTCTAGTCTACCCTGGGCTGTAGCGATGTCCTCGGGCATCATCCTCGCTGCTTCTGTCGTTGGTGAGATGGATGTGGTCAACTCGCTTGGATGCTACGTTGACTCACCTGATCATTCGAGAGAGGGCATAACATCACAAGGACACACTAGTTTTGACAGGTGTGAGATGAAGAGACAGGATGAAGATAAGGTCAAGCTCGAGGTTGGTTAATCTGTATTTAAATTAGTTTGTACTAAAGCCTATTAATCTCGCTTCCGCATCTTGACCTTATGGCAAACGTGGAAATATCCATGTTTTGGGTAAATTCTTCCTTTCCTTCCGACTCAAGTTTATATGACCTTGGTTGGGCGAATTTATCGCACCTTAATCTGTGCCCTGTTTATCTCGATGCTCAGCTATGTAAATTGAGACCAATTATAGCCTTTTTTCACAGCTTTCTCAAATACTAAAAGTATGCTTTTTAATCGTTCCAACCAAATGCTTCATCACCACTATTCTGCATCCTCTGAGTTGGCTAAGTCCTCTTTTTTCGTATTTGAGTAGGGTTTCGAGAGGGTTAATACATCTCATATTAAGTCCTCTTTGCCCGAATCTTCCTACAACTTCTTAATAATGCATGTTTTTTAAAGGCCTCAACTATATTTTCGGTGTATCCTTCCCTGTTGCTTCTTTATCATTTTTAGTTGCACTCTTTCAAAGTTTCCTAGGACATGGTCGTCATCGTAGGTACTAAGGCTATGTGGATCAAGTTCCAAGGGCGATACGATTAGTCGACTGCACATATTCAGAGGTTATGGAGCGAAGAAAGACCTAGTTATAATTCAGATAATAGTAAGCTATCTGTTTAAAATGGATTAAGTCTAATGCCTGATTTCGCAACCGGAATGATGTCTATTCTATGAGAATATATATCATCTTTTCTCTCAGCATTTATGTACATTGCATTTGAAATTAATATGCCTTCTTTTTTGTTATATTTTCATATTTTAAATATCTCTCTTCTTTTAATTACTAATCACTACACCAAAAACAAAATAGATGTTATTAAAGTCGACAATTATCCAAGGACGAACTTTTTATATACTTTTACATGTTTGATCAAATACTGATGGTCTCAAAATCTACCCATGCTGAAATCTTTTATATGCTGTTTGCCCATTTTTCGAAGCATGCAATTTTGTCGGATTTGAGCTAAAAAGGTTACTTATGTGCATAATTTGACTATACATTATAACCGTACGATTTGAAAGGTTGATACACTCCTGATACTATTTTAGTCAGAAGTATCGGCGAGTTTGGTAAGACCTAAGCAAAATAGAAGCTCCAGTACCTTATAAATGAAAATTTGTTTGTATGCCTTTTAAAAATAAACTTCTTTGATAAATTTAAGCCGCTTTTTTAATTGATTACGAGTTCTTTAACTATCACTGACTGATAAATCGTTTTAAAACATAGTATCCTATGTATAATCTGATAGTTTCCATTTAAATGAATTTAGGGATTTAACAGATAATTTTACGCTAACTTGATTGTATTATATCATAAAGCTCAAGATTAATTTATTTAACCTTTAATACTTTCTCTACATTTATATTTACTTAACAATTTATAATATTTTCATGTTTGGTCGTAGTCTCCTTTAGTCTTTTTTTCGTTAAGCAGTAAGTTTTCGAGGCTATCATTAGATCAAATATATGATGTGTTCACCCTATTTCGTTTAGGATTAATGACATCCCATATATCTGATTTACTGTTATTCTCGAGACCAAAGTTTTAAAGGAAAAATATGTAATATAATATATTGCTATAGCAAATATAACTTTGCTTCATCGACAATCCCACTACATAATGTGATCCTGGAAAATATTGGCCTTCCTTAGAATTCGCATCTGTCCTGTGGCCCAAGGGAACTCATGGAAATGTGGTGTAGTGGCTAACGTATCGAGATTACAGGCTAAACTGTCATGGCTCGAGTCCCGCCATAAGGGTTGATATGATCTAGGCAAGGTCGAAATTACAAACCACTTCTGCCTGGATGAGAACACGTTTTGGGAAAGCACGGCAATGTGAAATTCAGTGGAAGCGTCAGCTCTACTGATATTGTGGAAAAATTCGGCTACCATCCTTCCTCGCATTAAATGAAATAGGGTGTACACATCTCATATATCCTATTTACGCCAACTGCTATGAATGTCCTTG